GCAATTATTCTCGCAAGTTTTGCGCATGCATTTTTTTTTTTTTTTTACTTTTACATACTCGTGATTATTTAGATTCATTAACGACACAAAATTTAAGCGATCCAAATAATCCTTGGGCCATTTCTAATACTTTTTTATCAAACCGATGAAAATGGAAATATTTCAAGGTTTTAATAAATTATAAATAAATCACTAACTTTAAATATCCATCATCTTTTAGGAAATCAAGGTTCATTATCGTCTTGAACACCGTCTGAAAATAAGACGATATTAATTGTAAATGTCTGTATATCTAATGAATTTATTACCTAATATGGCAATTGAAAAAGATAACGATAGAGCTTCGTATTTAGCACAAAAAGCTGAAATTATAGCGGAAATAGAACTTTTTTGTTTATATCCCTTACAAAGACTTAACAGAGATTTGTTTCCTGAAGTAATGTAAGTTCTTTTATTGTTCTTGGAAAAAAAAAATGATGCACTTAAAATTTTCTTCTTTATGGTTCTAGACATTACCATGTAGTTATAAAGGAAGCAATTAAAAAGGGTGATTGGAATATGGAGGATTGAAACGCAAAATTTTAAAACTTCTTAACATTGAAGATGCCATTAAGTGGGGTTAGTCATGCAGCAATTTTTTATTTGTCATGCTTGTAAAAGAAATAAAGACTTATTCGATATTTTTAATACGTAAAGAATTTGTATTATGATTTATGCGACTACCATTTGTTTCAAACTAAATTAGAACTTTATTAGATTGATAAAATCCTCTATTGATGATCTATGCTAATTATAACAGGCAGGGCAGACTACACGAATTTTCCAATATTACACCCATTAAAAGTTACCAATAAAGCCCAAAAGAGACGAAACCCGGTTATGATTTGGGATAGAGGTTGATTTTTGAGGTATAGGACTTTCCATTTTAAAAAGTGACGTTTTCAAGATTCATAAGTCCATTTGCATTTTCGGAAACGATCGACTGATAAGGAAGGTTCTCTGAATTTTTTTTTCATCTGCCCCTAACCAAAACAAAAATGTCCTTCATTTCATTTTTTGACCAAACACTTTTTATCTCAATTTCATTTTCTTTTGTCGTTTTTCTCGTGGTTAATAGTTTTCAAACTTGACTCGTATATACGATCATTAAATTGAAAAGCCACATATGTGTCAGGTCATCAATGTGCTACACACTGTTTTCTTTCTAATGCATCTTTTTAAGTGTTTGACAAGCCATATTAACTTTTTTAAAAAACAGAAAATCAAATTAGCGCATGATTTTCATGTCTTACGATACTTTCTCTCTAGAATTACTAGGGTTTACTTTATATAAAAAAAGTCCCATTGGCTCCAAATTCAGCCATTCTTTCATCCTTGTCATGCATGCACTTCAAATTCTCCGTGTAAAGGCATGAAAATTTTAAAATCATTTAAGTAAATTCCTTAAATATTTGAAACACACCTTTGGTCGTACGTCATATAAACTGATATAAATATTTACTCGCGTTTTAAGAATATATTGCTTTTGTTTTTCCGTGTCTAAACTCTTTTTATGTTCTCGAGAACGAATTAAATTTTTGAGAAAGAAAATTGGCGAGTACTCTGTACATCAAAAATTACCAAATCGGGTTAGCAAGAATTTCAAAACATGATCATTTCTAATTTTAAAACAAAATTGTTTTTAATTTTTAAAACACAAAAATAAATAAATAAATATTATTACAAAGATTAAACATTGTGATTTTAATTCGAACCTATAAGGGAGGTGGTAGTAAAAACTGGATTTTCCTAAGGTTTTCACGTCACTAATTCACAATAAATTTTAAAGAATTATAGTTTACATTTTTTGGCAATATGGCTTGCTCTTTGCGAACAAAAAAATCTTTTCAATTCCTTTATATAAATCATCACTTTTTTTCTTTTTCATCAAGTCATTAATTAACCATGCCAAAAGTACTTAGCACTATTACTCGACGCGAACAAAGGTGTTTAATCGATTTTGACACCATTTCTCCTGATAGATTAGATTATGCTCTCGTCTTACTTTGCTCAAGAATCATGGTGAGAATACAATTGAAATGCTTTGAAGACTCGATTTTCTCAATAAATGAAATCAAATTCATAGTACGTAAAGAAATCGAATTGTTTCCTGGGAAACTTCAAAGGTTTTCGATCCAAATGAAAGAATACTACGAATTAAATGACAATACGTTGTCAGATTGTAAAAGTAAGATCGATCCAATCGTGGACTCGGATGATCCGTTGGAATCAATTCGAAAAATTTTAAAAGAGGAGATCACCTCCAAACGTAAATCTAATACAACCATGGTTAAACGGGTGTATAGAAATTTGATCAATCTATCCGATGACTTAAAAAGGTACTTTTTAAATCGTGACAATCACGATAAAAAAAAGCACAACATAAGACCAATATATTTTGTCGATAACTACTTTGTGTACCAGGAAGGTAGTCCTGGAAGTCCAGAAGAAACATTCATTTCATTTCCGATGGCACTCGTTTGGTTGCCAACTTTGACGATAACAGATGAGATAAATCAAAGAAATTCCTCAGCTTTTTACCTTCGAAAAAAGCCCGAATTCTTGGGTAGCAAGGGAATACCGACATTCCGTTCTCAGTTATTAAGGATGATCTTGGTTCAAAAAAGTGTTAATCAAAACAAATCGAATGGGAGTTCGACGAGAGGCGCAAAGGGAAAGAGACGACGATCTTATAATAAGTCTAACAAGATAAAAATAAGAAATAAAGACGAAGATCGAAGTCATTCCCCAAAAACGCTCGAGTCTCCCATACCGATGACATCCATTAGCGCAATTCTCAATCACGTTGATGAGAATGTTCAAAGTTCACAACCTTACAATAATAATAACTTCCATAATAATTTTTCGACGTTCCAAAGTAATCCAATTAATCCGACCCTTTCTTCTTCATCCAAACCATTTGATTTCCGAAACTTGTGTCCATGTATCATCCATAAAAAACAACAACAACAACATCATCAACGGCTTTTGTAATGGTTACACGCACATATCACTATATATATTATTTACCATATTTATTTAATCGTAATTTTTTTTTTATTTATTTATTTTTATACATTAGATTTTTTTTTCATGTTTATTTACTTTGAATATCAAAGTTATTTATTTCCTTGATGTCGTAAATCCTTTAATATTTTCACGTATTTACATTTTATTAGTATTCTTTTAATTTTTATAAGGTTTTATATATGAATAGAAAATTAATTTTTATCTATTAAATTTTTTAATAAGATTTTATATTTATGAAAATTGGCAAAAAAAAAAAAAAAGAAAAAATTTTAATTATAATTTACGTTAAGAAATAAATTGGCAAAATTAAATCATGAAAAGTTTTTTTATTTATGCATACCAAAAAAGGTATTATGATATATAAATCCTAGCAATAATTCTCCTTAGAAACTTTTGACACTTTAATTAGTTTTCTTTTCTCGGTTCACAAAAATTCTCTTGAGGGTCGTCATACGTTCCATCAAGAATGCTATCGATAACCAGCAGAGGATCCTTTCCATTGCTAAGAACGAACATGATTTGCCAATCTCGTTCGTCCAAATC